TACCGCGTTCTTCGCTTCCACAGCGGGATCCGCCGGGCGGAAGCCATATTCCACACGAAGGTCAATGACCGGACGTGAAGGGGCACGCATCAGAGTCGCCTTACGGGCAGCTTTCAGCTGCCGCCTCTCTGCCCCGTCGAGGTCATTGGTGACTACACCACGTCCCTCATGTGACGAGAAGTCAGGAAACAGACATGGGGTCCGCAAGGCGCGAGCAGGGATCGTCACACGCCGCTGGCGCTCGCCTTCCTCGTCAATCAACGCGGGAACAGAAGTTTCACACTCGTAGTCGACCATTCCCACATCCTCATCGAGGTCAATCGTCATTGATAGCGTGCGCGGAGCGCGACGCTCGTGCTCATCGAGCCTAGGATGTACATCCTTCGATGCGGTGAAGCACTGTCCGACATTGCACCGCGTGCGAGAGACGATATTGGGCTTTGCCCGTGTTCGATGTCAGAACCAGCGAAACTTGGTGACTTCAGTGTCGTTGCCACAAGGCTCATTTAGCACGGAATTCGTTTTGTTTCAACGAACCAAGCTGCAGTGTCTAGCGGACACGCAAGCCTCTTTGAGGCAATAATTGATTGAAACTGTAAATGTAGTCAATCTTAAAGGGGGGAGAGTGCAACGGGGTTACACGTACCCTGTTAACAGGGGTTTGTGTCACACGAGAGTGGCATGGTGTGACTGCACCCAAATAAGAATACGGCACGTGGCTGAGTAGCCAGTAGTGATGCATGTATCTAGATTTTAATATATATATTTATTAAAATCTATAAATTTGGAATTTGGCGGCTTTGCGGAGAGAAAAAATATAAAGTCAGTTTTGAATTTAAACGGAAGAGTTAATTAGCCTTGGGTTAAGGCAATAGTTACTCTTGGAGTAAGCGGATTGCGGTCCGCTACACTCGTATTGGTTCTTGTAAAGAACGAAAGGTCGGTGATCTATAGTACGCTTTCTCTAAGCGCAAAGCTACGACAGACCCGCTGCAATACGTGCATCAAATTGTCAGATGCAACATGTGCTGCGTTGCTAAAAGCTTTGGGACGCAGGGAGTTTCAGTCGGATGTCACTTGATCAAAGCGGTGGTTGCACCTTCGTTCAGCAATTTCTTTTCAAATGATTACAGTATTATCTCATTGACTCACATTATTATCATTGTGAAGTGGTCCCTCTCGATAAGAACTTTTAGTACTGGGTACTCTGCGAGGTGCATGAGGCCACCTCGAAAAAAGGGAGACTCACCCAAACGTTTCATGACTCTATGGCCAAAAGTCAGAAAAACAAAAGCAACGCCTCAATACCAGAAGCAGGACACACACGAATTTATGCTGTGGGGCAAAAGGTTTTGTTTAATGGAATAAATCTACATACATTGTCTGCGATTCATAAAACTACGTTGCATCCGCGGCACATCGGGCTGTTCATTGTCATAGCGAAGAAGAGGTAACGCTGTTCTCTAATACTTAAAAGTTAATGCAAACATCTCATTGTTATTCGTGGATTTACTATACCATTTTACAATCACACCTTATGAGCCTGTCAGATGTGAAAAGCTCTACTGCAGACGTAAAAACGTCATTATTATTTTATATAGCTGGTCTTTCGATTCCCTTAGAAAAGAGAAGGTGTCATATGTCTCAACGTTTGTTCAACTAGTGAGAGGCGACCGACCTTGCGGTGATTGAGACCCATGACCGGCAGCTGATAAAGCTACCTCATGGAGACAAGCATCTACTGCACATCACAAAGTCAAATATAAGACGGCTCGTTAAGTGGACACTAGCCTCGCTGAAGCCGGCTTATTAATCCTTAAGTCGAGCAAAACGGCGTGTTTTTCTCACCCATTGCGCGAGCTGAGTCGGACACTCAGCGACACTTTCTCCAATTTCGACTTCACGAAAAAAATCCTTCAGGGATGGATGGGATTTATTAATTGCTGCTGAATATAGCATAGACGGATGTCCTCAAGAGTGACGACCTGAGACTTGAAAAATATAAGTCTGGCCGTTTTCTCATCGGGGGGCAGATGGCCTACACGCACAGGCATGTAATCGCTCCGCACCATCGCGGTGAGTGGCAACAGACGGTTTGAAACCGTAGTCATGCCAGAAAGTCCGAGCCTCGTGCAGCGGAAAGGCTGAGCGCGGTAAATACCTTCTCCTATGATCAAGGCTAGGTCATGTATCGCCGGATGAGAATGGAGATGATTTAAAGGCTATTTCAATCGTTCCGATCGGAACTCTCGACATAAATCTCTTTCATAACGTCGGTCGCGTCGAACGTGACGTGAGTGGGGGCTCTTAAGCCATTTGATTTGATGATATATATAGAACGTGCTCCCGGTGCAATTATGTTTTGAAGATCAGGCTTGGTAACTAACTTAGAGAAAGTAGAGCGCCAGGCGCAGTGTTGTAAAAGAATAATTAAGTGTGAACCCTCGGGTTGATCCGGAGAAATCGTGACGGGGCAAGTACTATTGTATCCTCATACATGAAAGGGCGGATCGCACAAGATGGTGTGACCGTACATAGGTGTGTACCACACAGTGTAATAACACAGTCGAGTGGCCACACTGTAACAAAAAGCCACCACGTGGCAGGATTGCCAGTAGTAATGCATATTACTCTATGAAATAGGAGAACCTAGGGTTATAAATATTGGTGGCTCTGTCGCTACTACACTGTCGATTTTAAACAGAAGTGTTCGTTTGACTTGGTAAGGCTTTAGTACTTCAAAGAAGCCGCTAGACTTGTGCTGGATCTTGGAAAGAAGGTCGGTGACCTTAGCTTAGCTTTCCCTAAGCAAAGAGCTACGGCAGCCCCGCTGCATGTTTATGCAGAAGAAATGCGTCCAATAATGCTTTATCTTTCAACCACTTCAACTTTGTAAGTCCTCATTCTGCCTTTGACATGTGTGTGTTAGTTTATGTATTGTGAATATCGGCCATGTTTTGTGATCTTAGCGCATGATGCCTGATCGATCGGAGGAACAATCATCTGTTCTATTACGAAGTATAGACTTGGTAATTCTGCACATATCAACTTTGATGTTGTAATGGGCACGAGTCATCTTATGTGATGCCACATACATTTCATTGCAATCCCTTGGACTCTGTGTGGACCAGAAGTGCCGTGACAAAGTATTATGACTGTTAATTTGCTCAAACGTACCAGACAAGTCGGTCGCTCTAATGATGAAGATATTTCTGGAAATTCGATCTTAGACCAAATTGGGATACACACCTCGTTTGCTACGGCACAACTTGGTAGTTCAAAATTAATATCCGTGCTTTGCAGATTTAATGCCGTAGCAAATCCCTATCGGTTTTCGATATTACGGTGTCGCACAAAATTGCACAACTCCCCCAAATTCATCCGAGTTAATGTCAACAAACCGGGACTATATGGTAGCCTCATACAGAAAGCGTCGCTTTCTCAAGTCTGGGATTCAATGCCAACCATTTTTAAGGGGAAACGCTGTTGCCGTAAATCGTGCCAAAAGAAGCTCCAGCTCAAACAGTCCGCGCTAGCAAACGATCAGGCCTTGCACCTTTGACGGAAGTGTAATTAAGTGACTAACAAGGAACTTATCTCCTAGGTTGCTCTGATACTTCAAAACATTAAATATTTGAAGGTCATTCTCCTGGATTTTCATATATCTTCTTTGTCTTGACGCCTCATCATCTTCATCAGTTCCAACTTTTTGATATATTAAAATTAATATATTTTTTGACAAAATTATCAGTGGAATTTTTCGATTGTGAGAATAACAAAACCGTACAATGGTACGAAAGTGTCGCGTTACAAGTACGTATCCCGTGCCACATTAAGCATCAAGATTAAGGCTACACTGGAGTTCTCACTTCATGCGACTTTTAAGTGCATTGCGAAAAAGAAAAGTCAGTTTGCGTGCAAGTTTAGGTAACTCCTTGCACTCTACGGTGCGTGCTCTTTTAGCATCTTCAAGTAGCGGATCTTGTTACGGATTTTCACGTGCCCTGGTGGGTCACACAAGATGGTGTGACTACACAATGGTGTGAGCACACTTAAACAACAAGTAACTACGTGGCTGGAAAAGCCAGTAGCTATACATTTAATTTGGTTTTCCTATTTAAATAGGAAAACCTATAGATCTAGATATCGGCGGCTTTGCTGCAAAAAACCCCGAGAAATACAGTTTACCTTCTAAAAAGAATTTTTTTTTTTTGCTTTGGGTTAAAGTTGTAATTACTCTTGGAGTTAGTAGATTACGATCCGCTAGACACGTATTGGTTCTAAGTATAGAACGAAGGTCACCGACCTTATCGTAGCTTCCTCTAAGCTAGTGAGCTACGGAAGGCCCGCTGCTGGTCCTATCCCGTATATCATCTTATATGGCTTGGTGAGTCTTCGAGAACGAATTGTATCTTTTGACAGATGCCCTAGATTTTACTCTGTGAGAACCAAGCTGAACTTCAAAAAGAGCGTCCGCATTCTTCACCCCAACACGTATGCACACATCTCGAGATATAATACCGAGCCGATTATCAAGTATAGGCGCTTATTTTGTTACCTCCCACTCTCATCATGCATGAGAGACAAACTCCGTCGCGCATTCCCTTCAACTGCGAATAAATAATGAGACAATATGCCGCGGAGCTCAAGAAAATGCCCTGTGTATTTATAATGAGCTGAATCTAGCTCAGAAACCCGATATTGTCTTTTACAAACATCAAAAGCACACCGGCTCTACCAAATTTACAACGTCGAGATGTTTATCCCGAACCTTCTGAAGTTACTCACCGCTCTGGGGCGGAGTTTTCAAAACTCGTTGCATTTAGATTCCTTTAGGTACATCGACAGTAGAACGAGAGCTACTAAGTCGCTCAGTGTTTAAAAAATAAATTCACGGTATTCTGCTTGCACTTAGTGGAGCTGTGTTTGGATACGCTCCCAGAATCTAAAGTTGTTAAACTGCCGAAGAGTACCTTACCCATTTCGTGACCTGAGTGAAGAAATCGCGTTGTCTTACGTCTAAATGCTTAGCTATTCAGCTTTAAGGTCGTTGACGTTCGACTAGGGCTGCGACTAATGCTTAAGCAGACGTCAAAGTGCATTTTATCTCAGCTCGTTTTAAGGGGTAGCTGTTACAGCTACGAACCATGTGGGGTACCTAACCGCAAGGTGGGTTTCCACTCATTTGTGGGGAAGTACGCTTCTTCCATGAAAGTAAAGGACGAGGATGCGTCAATTCGTAACCAGCCGCGGAACCTCAAACTTCTATGAAATTTTGGATCGATGGTATTTTATTCAAATCCACCAGACACTGCAAGCAATTTAACGGATTTTTACGAATAGAAGACCTTCTACTATCACAAGCCCACATCGAGTTTTCGACAATGTTCTAGAAATAAAAGACCGCTATGATTAAAAGACCTCTTCAAATAAAAGGCCGCAGTAAACATCATAGCATTGGGCCGATATTTT